CAGCGGACCACCAATCATGTTCCCCTTTGGCTGGCCACTGTACAAAATGCATGACTGTTTGAATCTATTTCGTAAAAGCAAGAGCTACAATACACAATACACATGTGGGCACAAAAAGACCTATTTATGCAAATTAGATAGCGTCGCATCGCTTGCGGCATTTATGGTTTATGGTTTATGGTGTAGAGTTTCGGTTTTTCTGTTGTTTGGTTATTTGGCTTGTTGTTTGCATATTATTGAAGCATTTATGATAACATTTATTGTGGCTGATGAGATATGACTGATTTATTCCATTTCATAACACAATTTGATGTCGCCAAGTGAGAGAACTCTCCTCCATACCGTGGTGTACAAATCGATTTTAAATTATATTTTTAGAGAGTAAATTAGCTAATTGATGGATTGAAAGAGCTCTTCTACAGCTTTATATTTTATTAGTATTTTATTTAGTTTGTATTTGGATACGAAAATATTTGGTGTAAGACTGCACGATCCTTCGGCTAAAAATTTGGCAATTGCTACATCCCAATATCTCTTTTTTTCCAATTCATTGATTTAATTGAATATTTTTTATTGTATTCCACGAAGCGGATTAGGATGTCGATATTGCTCGAACCATAAGAGATTTCAAACAGTAATTCTACATTAGATATACATACATTTTACACGTGAAACGTTTCTACACAACCGATCTACGGTGGCGCCACTCGTGTCACACATGTGTCGCCGTATGTAAACTATATGTGAAGTGAATGTCAAACTGTTAATACTCTTAAACTGTTATGCATACGCCAGCGGCATTCAACTTAATTTCTCTGACAGGTTGTTTCGTTTTGTCTTTTGCCTGGAAGCGCTGCCTGCCAATAGAAATGCAATCAAGTTAATTACGGAAATATGCATTTTTCAAGTCAAACATGAACATGCAACTCAACTGAACTGAACTCCCTGTGATTGACGATAAATGGCCAATTACGGCAATTACCCGGTTCATGGCCCCGCGGGTGCAACTTCAATGTCCGCCTGTCGCGTGCAATATGTGCAAAGAGATTGCTAGAGAGAGTAAAAGAGAGACAGAGAGGGAGAGTTGGTGTGGGAATACCAAAATATGTACACAGCATTTTAGAATAATTCGATTTAAAGTTAATTTATGAAATTGTTGCTGCTAATTGGTTGTGTTAAATGATGGAATTCTTGCATAATGAACAGCATTTTCCGCTTTGTTTGACCTCACACAGTCTACCTCTAATTAGTTGCATGCCCCATCTGCGCGTGGTTGGACTGACACGCATGCAATTAATACACTTCTAAATGAGGTTTGCCAAGGGCAAACACACACACACACAAATACAGAGAAGTACAACTGACTCGCACGCGAAATGTCCGATTCAAATGCATTTACATCACAATACCAAACAACTCGCGCGTCCTGTCTCACGTCTCTCTCTCTCTCTCTCTCTCTCTCTCTCTCTTTCACTGACTCTGGCATTTTTTGACTTGTACACGGGTACAGGCAGGAGGACCTGCCACAGTGCCAGGAAGCGTAGCGTAACGTGGAGGCATGGCCAGGGCTTGTGGCACTTTATAGTGCATAAATTATTCAATGGGCCGCATGCCACAGCGAGTCAGAGACGACAAAAGGAACTTCACTGTCAGTTATAATTTCACACGCGTTGCCGTTGTCAGTTTCTGTTGTTTTCTTTGTTGTGGCTGTGTTGGTGTTGGTGTTTGTGTTACTGTTCTTACGATATGCTACGCCACACGATGCGACGCATCTAACCCAGTTTTAAGGCCATTTCGTGGCTCACTTTTGTGCGCGCGCATCCGATCCCAGCGTTACATTTTGTACTTGCTAGGGTCGACACTGACTTTGGCCTGGTTCCTGTACGCGTTACCCGTTCCCGATGACGAAGCATTTTACACCCCTGAATAGTTAATACAAATTAGCTGGCCCCAGGCAACTACTTTCCAGCGAAATTTGCATGCGTTGTGCCATGTAATTTAGCAGAGACGGCGATAGTCAGTACAAGAGTCAGGGCCCTGCTCTTGGCCCCCTCGGGCTAAGCTTTGATTTTGGCCAACTGTTTTGGGCTATTGTAAAGTTAACCTAGCAAAAAGTTGAACTGGTAATCTGTGTGCTCTGCTTTTGCTGTTGTTTCGAGTTGGTGCTGCCAAGCGGTGGTTCGCCCAAGTTCCGGTCTCCGTTTCCAAGACCTCTTTCTGGGCACAGCCGCATAAGAAATTCATGGTCCTGCACGCCGCCTTTGCGCCCACCTAAAATGCTTTGCGTGTTCCTGCTAACTGGACCGACAGAATGTGCTCCGTCCTCTGTTCAAATATTGGAAATATATTTCGGGCTCTGCCCGCTCTGCCGTGTCCATCATAAATGACTAAAAGGTTTTGCTACCTTTGGCTCGTTTGTTGGCGTTTCGCAACTAAATTAGGTTGCGGTTTCTGCTGTGGCCCAGAGACACATAAATATGCCACTCCAGAGAGACAGAAAGGAGCACCAGCAGCAACCGTGGGAGCAACCCCAAATGAAACTACATGACTTATCAATTAATTAAGCGAATTTCTCAAATTATCACCCTGGGCCCGGTCGCCCCAAAGGCTGTTTTGCATGTCAGTGGAGAGTTAAGACATTTGGCAGTTTCTTTTCCTTACTTGAGTGGAATTTAAAGTGTCATGCCAGACAGCAGTTTCATAACTTGGGAACACACTGCCAGGACTTGAATATTCCACGACTGTACTGTACTCTGTGTGTACACCGGGGGCCACATTTCCGCCTGATTTGAATTGCTTGGCAAGTTTGTTATGTTTTGAACTTGAGCTTCCTGCCACGGGTGCTGATGCTGTTGTTTCTTGCTGCTCGCTACCCCTTCCTGTCGCTTCTCTGCCGTTGTTGTCGCTACCGGTGCTGGTGCTGCCTCTTCCTGGGAAAAGTGCGCTGCATAAGGAATTTTATTAAGACAACTGTAGCAACAGCAGCAGCATCAGCAGCAGTAACATCAACAGTAACAAGAGCTCTACGTTGATGATGCTGAGACTGGGACAGGGGCAAGGGCAGGAGCAGGGGAAGAGACTGGTGCTGCAGCTGGTGCCGCTGTCTTGGTTGTTGCTGTCATCAGCCAGCGTCGAGGAGCCAGAGCTGTCGAAGGCTTATGCGGATGATGTGCATTTGCGTTGAGTTTTGCCCAGCATTTGTTTGCTCCCTTAGTTTAACTGGCTTACTGCTGCCCCGAGCTGTCGGTTACTCCGCTACGCAGCTACGCTACAGTTACCGAGCTACCGGCTATCCCTTCGTTATTATTGGTACTCGTACTCCTACTCGTATCCGTACTGTTGCTGTTGCTTAAGTTTTGGCCAAGCTGCTGCTCCTGCTGTTGTTTGCTTTTGGTGCGTGCCAGAGTTTTGCAATGAATACCCTGCAAGGGTGTTCGAGGCATTCATGGCTTGTAAGCCGCAGTTGCAGCAACTTTTAATAGCAATTCAAATCCTATTTTATTTGAAAACCTTAAGGAATGCATAATGTACATCGATTTTTGTGTGTGCTCTTTATGATTATGCAATGGGAATGTTCTCCATATTGCTGGCAGCGCATCCATGTGCCGTCATATGCTCTCACAATTTGCATGACATTTTCCCCATCTCCTCTCTGGTTGGCAAGTGTTCTCCGAACACAGAGGAAGCATACACCCTCACACTCACACACATTGCCCAAAGATTGAAAGAGCAGCAAGCTTTCGCACACAAAAGCAACTTTTTGCTGACACCTCCTTGCTTTATCTCCAGGAGTCCTCCTTTCGGCATCCGTTGCCTTAGTTCATTCCGCTCTTAGCTCTCCCGCTGCTGCTCCCGCTGTTGCCTCTGCTGCTGCACTTTAAGCCAAATAATATTTAAATATAATTTTGCTAAAATTCTATGCCATTTACTTTCCAATTTGCATAAGCAGGCAAGTCTCACACACACACAGAGCCAGAGGATCTAATGCCAGCGAGAACGGAAGACCAGAGCGAAGTGATATGCAAATGAAATAATTGTTTAAATGTGACGGAAGTAAGCTCTGCCCTGCCCTGCAAATGGCATTCGAAAACGAGTTTGCCACAAAATCTAATGCTGTGTGCTGATGGCCCGTAAAGTGGGGGGTTCGGGCCATAAACTAACACAGCTGACAATTGGTTTTAGCAGCACATTCGATGCATTAAACTTTATGGTATTCACATTATTTGCTCAAGTGTCTGGGCACGCACGTCGCACGGGAAACGGCACCCAGGTGTATGTATGTGTGTGCGTGAGTTTGCTCAGGTAATTTCGCTGTCATTTTGCATTTGTAATAAAGCAACATGTCGCCACACACCCACCCACACATCGTCAGAGCACCGCTGTGGCAGCCTAAACCCAGCGAAGCCCAAGGTAATTACAGGGAGGGAGATCTCTCCTCGTGCCACAGCCAGCGGAACTGAACCGAGTTCATTTGTATGCCGTTCAGGTCTCTTATCAAATATGAAGCAAAGTCGTAAAAGCTAATTAGAGTTGGAATGTCTGTGTGTGGGAAGCAGAAGCTGCTGCCGCCTGAATAATTCAAACTAATCGGCCAGTAATGCAGGCGAACCATTAGAAAGCACGCCCATAGAGCGGCAAAAGTTTAATTCAAATGATCAATAACCAAACACACACACTCTTCGCTTCCATGGCAACTTGTTTGAACTGAAGAAAAGATTTGTATTTGTATGAAACTCGCTCGATTATCAATTATTCTCGGGGTCTCTGCTGGAAATTATGACAGCTCGCATCTCCATTCGCCTGGGATTCGTTGTGCAGATGTTCGTGCCTCGAATGTGCTCTTTTTTGCCTCTTATTTTGCTTTTCACGTTGCCACACATCAATCATAAAATGCAAATATTTACGATTTTATTTGTGTGCAAATTGCCGACCCCACGACCATTAAACCGAGGCTCTAACTTTCCACACTCAATCGAATGCCTCCCCTTTTTTTATTGCAGGAACAGCAGCAGCCGCAAGTATCGGCGGCACATCAACGAGAATGCCCTCGGCATCATCCGGAGCACCCTGAACAGCGGCGGCTTTGGCCCACAGGCGCCCAACATTGCCAAAGAGCTGGGCATACCCTCGAATTCGGGGCCCATGAATCAGCTGGCGGCCGGCTACCAGCGTCCGCTCTCCCATCCGGGCGGCGGCAGTGGCGTCGCAGCAGCCGCAGCGGCTGTCACAGCAGCCCAGCAGGAGAAGGGCATGTTCAGCATCAGTCAGCTGAACCTGGAGCTCACCGACGAGCATGTGGGCAGCAATGGGCGCATGGAGATCACCTGCCTGTCGACGATACCGGCGACTGTGGGCCAGGGCGAACAGTATGCCGACTACAAAACGTATTCCGTAAAAGGTGAGTGGTGGCAACACAACGCGGCGTATGCGTGATTCGCATGAATTGTGCACGTGTGTGGGTATACACATTCGGTTTATTTATTCTGTAATGTAATGCTATGCAAGCACAATACTTGCTTTGGGCCACACTCTCGCAAAATGACGAGCCGTGAGCTCATCAAAAAATGCTCGCTCCTCACACGGGGGAGGCACGCGCGACAAAATTATGAAATGTAGAAGAGAATCACGGATGGAATTTTCACAAAATAAATTAGCATGATAATGGGATGTTGCTATGTGTTAGGGGTACAGTATGTCTGTATATGTGTGGTGTGCCTATTGTTATTTCTCGGGCTGTCAGAATGTCTACCGCCAGCTGCCAAGAAATGTATAAACAAAAGTCAACTTGGTCTTTTGTCGGTTCGTCTTTTTGGCATATTTGAAATGTTTTCCTTGTTTGCATTGAAGTTTGCCGAGAAGCTTTTGGCAAGCTTCTTGTCCTGTATCTGGCATAAGACTACACTAAGAAAAAAGGCATCCCTAATTAATATTATACTTCCCCAAGTTCAACTAACATTTTCTCCGTGTGCACCGAATGTTCGTTTAATTTCGACGTACGCCCACACCTAGGGTGACAGAGGGCAGGACACAAACAGAGGTTAATTTATATATCTGCCGACAGTGTTTGCCTACAAGCCGATTGTTAACACTTGCTTCCTCCAGGCAAGTCTCCGAGTCGTTGACTCGACTCGGCCAGTCAGTATTGTAAATTGTCCTGAATTGTACGAAATAATTTACACATTACCAGGCCCATGACTCACAGCATTCGTAGGTCGCTGGTCGTCGGTTGTAGTCCCAGGCGTGGTCTAGCCGGAGGCAACTCCTTTGTCTTTCGACCTCTTTGCCGGTCGAAGTGGCTGCCAAACTGTCACTTGAACCAAGGGGCGTATGCGTGTTATTTATGTTGCGTGAAGTGCGTCATTTGTTTCGGCCACTTCGCCGCCGAGAATGCTCCTTCACACTGTAATTGCTTCTTATGCTGCCCTAAGGGGCTGCCATCAGTTGGCTGCCGCTGGTCGCCTTGTTTATGCCAAAACTTTTCAGCGGCTGATCGGCGGAGACCTTTTGGCCCTGTGGCTCCACACTTGGCTAGTCACTTTCAAGGGCTTTTCAGTGATTTAAATTATTCAGCTTACACGGGGGCGAGCTGCTTTTGCAAATTGATTTGCCTTTTTTTACGGTTTGGGCAATCATCCTGTCAGTCCTCCCTGTCGTAATGGCTTTTAGTCTCTTCAATTAATTTCGCCTGCCAGCCTTGACCGGCAGCTCCAGCTAGCCGGCAAGGACACTGGCATTTCCTTTCACCTGATCCCCGCATTGTTTATCACATTCTAAAGCCCCATAGTGTACATTATATTTATCTTCTATTTTCCGTATTTCTGCAGTTGAGGTTGAGCGACAATTGGCCTCCTCCACGTCAACGGCAGCGCCCAGCATCGGTATGGCGGCACTGGGCAACGGCAATGGACACGGGAACGAGACCTCGGCTGGCTCTGTAATGCCACATCTGTGGTCTCTGGCTCAGATTCTGCTACTCATGCTCCTGCCCCTGAGCTACTAGGGGCTACTAGTCTAGGTGCAGCAGCTGCTGGCGAGAAGCAGACCACCGACATACCAAGCCATAGTTACGCCAAAACAAAGGACACCCACATCATCATCATCATCATCATCATCGCCAGCATCAAGGGCAGTAGCTGTAGCAGCAGCAGCAGCACAAGGAACAGCAGAAGCAGCAGCAGAACTAAGTTGGGTTTTTGTATAAATTGTACACCAAATTTTTTATTTATTTCCATGTGCATGAGCTCGATTGAGCAAGAAAATTAGCACACCACAAAGAAATTAAACCAAAGAAGGGGGAAAGAGCGATGCAGAGCGAGTGGATTTAGAGGAGAACTTGTACAATTTTTGTGCGGCTCTCCTTGGAAGCCGATTTAAATAGTTTACTTGTAGATAATTTGAAATTGCCTAGGGGCAACGTGTGTTGATATCCCTTCCCCCTGGTCTTTTTTATATTTTTTGTGTGGCCAAAATGCCAAAGAAACATGTTTTTAATTAAGTTGCAGTCGGTCCGGACTGTTGGACTGGATTGTGTGTGTGAAATGGTTTGTCCATTTCCCATTCCATTGCAGTCGCAGTCGCCGACGGACATTTTTTGTAGCGCAAAGAAATTTTTGTATAGCTAATTGAACGTAAGTTTTGTGGTGAAGCTCGCCCCATCGGGCAGTCAGCTATTCCAACTGATCAAAATAAAGTTTTTGTGCTCTTCAAGGTCAGTGCACAGTGGGTGTGGGATTCCACCCACTGAATTTCCATCGCCGGCCTTGTCAGAAATTTGTGCGGCAAACGAAAAACGATTGAAGTAAAGTTTTTAGGCGTTTCCAAGCTAGTCAGTCGCTACGAAGCTTGTACCTAAAATGCATCGCATCATCCAAATGCAACAGCAAACAGATGAACAAATGAACAGAAATCCCCATCCCCCTGCCCAGAGGCACACAAACAATTTAGCGAAATGAAAGTTATTTTTTATGGTGTTTGTAGCGCTTCGGCTAGTCAAGGATGTGGATGTGAATGTGCATGTGGGTTAGGCCACTGAGGGTAAGGCTAGGATTAAGGCAAACTGAATTTAAGCGTCAGCCACATTCCACTTAAATACGAGTACCCGGAGTACCCTCCCTCCCCGGAAAAGAAACCCAGAGAAAATTAAACGTTTAAATGTAAAATAATTAGACAGTTAAACCAAGAAGCTTACAAAAACAATCAGTGTTGAAAACATTTTGAGAAAACCAAAACAAAAACAAAAAACGAAACGAAACAAAGAACACGAAACACAAGACACAAGAAAATGGCGTCTCAATGGGCGCGTCTGTGGCGCGTGGCGCGTGACGCGTGGTGAACCCCCGAAAAGGGTCAACTCCGAGTGGGTTGGACCGGCAGGGTTAATGGGTTTACCCGGGTCAGAACCAGACCCAGACCCAGACCACCGCCACAACACATTACGACGCTTATTTATTTACAAGTATATTCATTTGGTCCTTCATTCTCTTTTCGTTGTGTGTGTATAAATGGTAATCGTTGCAATGGATCGTTTAGAGAGTAGTTAGGAAAATATTTGCCATTGCAATTAATTGTGTTTGTAAACGTTTTCGTTACGTATTGTTTTTTTAGTTGTTGGATCCTAGGCGTTCCCACTTGAGAGCAAGTGCGGATGCATTACGTGTATGTAAGTATATATAGGAGAACCTTTTTCAAACGCGCTTTAAGTGTCTACGTATATTTGCTAGAGAAGAATTTTAAACACATACATGCAACACACATACGAGTAGCATACCAATGTAACTATGTAAAGCAAGAAGATAGCGACCGGTAGCAGAAACGGTAACACGAACCACAAACAACACCCAAGAAACAACACGGCAAAGTAAATATATGTAAAGCAATTAGCGGACTAGTCTATACCCATACATACTATACCATATGCCATATACCTTATACTATATACGTGTACGTACATATATGTACACACCCTACCTATACATGAGCATCTGTTTTGTGTGTATGTGTGTAATTAGGCTTATATTTTTGACTTCAAATCGACGGCGAAACGCAACCAAAACCCAAACTAATATTAGTGTATAGAATTTAGCCTGCAGAAGCGTTCTCCTAAGCGAAATCAGCTAAAACCAACCGATTGACAATTACCAATTAAATGATTGCAAAACTAAACACTTTTCCTCCCAAAAAACGGTTGTTCAGTGTGACCGGAGCTGTAGTACATAGATCTAATGCGAATTCGATTTCGATTTCGATTTCGAGTAGTTTCACGTCCATTTGGCGGCGACGGAGGAAGTGCAGGCAGCAACCGGATATTGCTTGAACGAACTACAACAATTTTTTATAAATGAAAATATACTATAGTTATGACGACGATAACGTTAAACGGTAACGGTAACATCAAGTAAAATAATATTAAAAACAAAGAGAATGAAAACAAAACAAAACCAAAAACAAAGTTCATATTACATATAAAAATATGGCTAAAATGTCTTATGCAGGTATTGACGTCTTCCTATGCTACGCTGTCTATTATTAACTGAACAAATGAATTACATTTATAAATTATACATTATGAATAGGTATGCATACAAAGTTTACTGTATGTGAAGAAGAAAAAAACCAATGAAAAAAACCAATAAAAAAAAGAATGAAATATTAACACTTATACACAAAAAAATGATAATGCTTTAAGATCAAATAATAAGTTATTTCTCTTTAAGTTTAAAACTGTTACTTATTTTCCATCATCAAGACTATTCAATTGTGAATAATTTCGCTTGATTTGTGTACGATTATCCTGGGAAGTGGTTCCCCGTTTGTTATGGGTTTGAGACTCACTCGTAAATGTTTCCCACCAATCTATAAACAAGTGCAAACACATCCTAACTCTCAGCACCTCATAACGCATCGACACATATACAGTTTGCACCTCCCAATACCCATCATAACTCACTCCTTACTCAGCACTCTCTCTTATTCCACTTGCAAACATATATGAATGTATCTGTTGTATCTGTCTGTCAAATATGCAAACTGTGCGTTGTCCACCAGTCAGTCGTCTCAGTCCGTTGTCCTAACATACATTGTCTATACATATGTAGCTCTGCATGAATATGCATAATTGGTAATGGGCCAGCTCTCAGCCATGTGTATGCTAATTATTGTATGTGCCATGCAGGCACTCTCTATCCAGCGTGTAAGTGTGTATTTATGTAAAGAAAAAAAAAGCATTCATGTAAGTGTCAAGTGCAAAGGAAACACAAAAAATTTATGATATTTGTAAAGAGCAAACTAACGTACATTAAGTGTCGCAGCAATTCGTAAAACATATCATAAATGTTGTAACATTTTCTCTATAACATATGTCAGTAACCTAAGAGAGAGACAAGTGACATTTTTCATGACTTACATATGGCTTTTGTCATTTAAATATCGTTTATCCACGCAGCCTCTCCTCCGGGAGCAGGCAACATAGAAAATTAATGTACATGGATATCACATTACATATATTTGAAACACTGTGTTTTGATATGACAAAAATAGTATTACAATGCCAGACAACAACTCGTTTCGTTCGGGGTCTGTGCCTCTCAGTTACCTACATCATTTCACTCGCATCAAAATCTTCCAGTCGCACATATCATTGCAAGAAATTATACAAAAAATATATATTTAAAATATGTATGTATACAGAAGGAGATGACAAAAAGGTGTATACAAAAAAAGATATATATATATATATTTATACATAATTACATACATACATGAATACATACGAGTACATATGTGTATAAACATTTATAAATGAAGGCAGACATAATTTATTAATTTTAAACACTTACACCACAAAAAGCTTTAACTTTATCATTTCCATTGTTTGTCGAGCATTAATATATTCCCATGCACATACACATGGACATACATACAAACACATTCAATATTGTACGACTTTATTTGACTTAACCCCATTTGTATTTGTATAATAAATATTTTACTGTAAGAAACGGTCTAGATAAATAGCATAATTCGAGGCTAACACGAGTGCGGATGAAACTGACGAAACAAAAACAAAAAACCAATGAGGAAAAAAGACAAATTAAAATTGATAAAATAACGAACATATTTATTTATGGATACAGACATACCAGTACCAGTACCAGTACCAGTAAAAGTAACAGTTAAAAAGTGTAATTGTTGAGGAGAAAAAATAAACGCAACCTATGCAGATTATGCGCGATCGTAAGCGTGGAATATTTGTGTGTATAATTGTACTAATATTAACATTAAATTATTAACAAATACGAGTGTACGTATGTACATTGTCAACGCCGAGCAGGAGGTCGGGCGTTTGATTGACGATTGTGCTGTGTGGAGCACAAACTAAATGTAAAATTTAAATGTAAAAAATACCAAAAACCCTAAGAAGTATAACGAGAACAAGAAAAATTAATTACAATTACAAACTCAACCCAAAATTATGGCGCCTACTGCTTGGCCAATCTGATACACTGAAGAGATATACAGCATATTAAATATACATACAGAAATACGAGTACGAATATTTGTGGTAAAAAGAGAACGAACTAAAAAATAAATGTTGAAAACAAGAGTCCAAAGGCGTTTCATTTAGGGACAGACCAAAGAGCCGGCAAACAAAGAGCTGAAGGAGCACACACACAAAAATGGCAAATGTGGAATAACACACAACGAAGTGGCAGCCACAGAGAGTGCCACAAAAATCGAGCTGAGTGGGTAGGGCTCTTCCCTGGGGTGGATGCCGGGAGACAGGATTTTGCGGTGAGGGACCGCACAAGTGCGTTAAACAAACTTGCGTAACTTTTTGCTTGACGAATATCCTTTTAATCCTTTTAAATGTGCAGAGAAACTGAAGCAGCAAGAGCTGGAGCCACAGCCAGGCCGGAATGGGACGTAACTGTTGTCCTGCGAAGTTCGTAAATAAAGGCGGGCCAAGTAAGGACACATAAGGTCAAAAGTCCCAGCAAAATTACCAAAGGGGGCCAACGTAAATATCCTGCAATAATCAACGAAAGGATAAGCTACGAAATAAATGGCGAATCAAGGGTATCATGGCCGTAAAACACACCCGCCCCAGAGCCTGAGCCAGAGCCTGACTGAGGACTGGGGTCGGGGCCACAAACAAAGCCCAAGACGCAATGGTCGAGTATTTTCTTGTTCCTTCTACTCTGTGATGTCTCTCGGCCTCGTCTCGTCACGCCCCTCAACGCCACAAAGGTGCAACGGTCCTGGTTGGCTCATTACGGAATCAAAGCCCTGTACACACACAAACACTCACAAGAAAGGACATCAGCGTGTGGGTGTGTGTGTCTGGTGACAGATGCGCGCTATCGATTGCGAATTCATGTGGCAAGCAAGCTGAAAGCCAAGCTGTAGGCTGGAGCAGGGAAAGGGACAGGGGCACGACAGCCAAACGACAACGTTGCATGGAAATGAGCAATTAACGCCTGGGCATCGTTAGGCCAGACCAATCTGGATATCGACGAATCAACAGATTTTCTGTGGGCCCATCAAAAGGGTTCTCTGCTACTGATCCCAGTCCTGCTTCTGCTCCTGCTCCTGTCTCTGGCTCTATCTTTGTCTCCTGTGTCCTGTGTCTGTCTTGATTAAGGTATAAATATTAAATCAGCATTGGATGCGGCAGTAGTGGGAGCTGCTGGCAGTAAGCTGCTGCTTCTCCTGCTGCTCTTGGCCTTTGCTTTTACTGTTAATGAGCCATGGCCATGGCAGCGACGGCAGCGAGGAGGGAGCCAAACAGGATGTGGTTTGTTAAGAGGCTCGTTCGTTGCTTAATTATACATGGCAGCGCCTAAAAGTCGCCTAATTAATATGCAGCAGTCAGCCAGCGGAGAGTGGCACGGTTAATGAGCCGAAACTCCCAGCATGTGTGCCACGAAGTTTCGACAGTCAGTCAAGCGTCTGTTTGTCATGCACACATTGAGATGCCACAAGGCAGAAAGCAAAAGCAGAAGGCAGAAGGCGTCCTACTAGAGCCTTGAGGGCTGCCGAGGATGTTGCCCGAAAATAACTCAATTTTCATTGAGTGGGCCGGCTCGAGTGCTCGCGTACCCGCTCATGGGAAACACCAATAAACACTTTTTGCAACAAATCCAAAACCCAAGTCCCGCAGAAGCAGGCAACCACAGGCAGGGAGCAGCGACAGGCGCAGTAAAACTTTTTGACAGCGACAACATGGCGTACAACTGCCAACTGCAAATGCATTTGGATGTGGCCACGGTTGGGGGGCTATAGTTTGGGCTTCAGCTCTCGGCTTGGGCTTCGGGACCCACAGCCCACAGCTCATTGCCACCTGTACCTGTATGGGTGGGTGGTTCAGTTGGGTGTGTGCTGTGGTTGCCAAATTAACAAAAGCGAGCTGCAGCGACTCCCGTCCCCGAACTCCAGAAACTTTGTTGCCTGCAAAGAGGAGACTAGCTGCGAGCAGGGGCCAAAAACAATAGCGACTGCAAAACTGTCTCGAGCACATTTCAATTTGCGCTTATTCCTACGATACGAAAATTCCTGCCCTACAAAGTTGCCGCCTGCATGCGGACAAAAATGTCAAAATATTTAGTTGTACAACAAAACTTTTGGTGCAGCAGAACGCGAGCGCTTTCAGAAATTGAAAAGAAATATTGGTTAGCCGAAAAGGGCGGGCAGGAGAAGAAGCAACAGCGGGCGAAACTTTCGCTCTGCGAATTAAATCGAAATAAAAATGTTTGTTGCCTGCTGCCTGCTGCCTCCTTCCTGCATGGGGAGCATTGTTTGCTTGCAATTTGCCTCTGTGCCACCCTGCCACACTGCCACACCGCAATGGCTGCTGTGTTGTTGGCTCACCGCAGCTGTCGGCTGTTGTGATTGAAAGCGGCACAATACCCGTGCTCCTGTTTTGCAAACAGTTCCATAATACCAACGATTTGTATTTGGTTTTTGGTTCTACGCGTACAAAATATGGATTTGATTTGGGTTTGTGAGCGAAGACGAAGCCCTGCAAAAAAGAAAACCCACTTGAGCGGGGCTCTGTGTAAAAAACTCAGCCCAAAATCGGGCTATGCTTTTTTCGCTACTCCAGAAACGGGCTCCGGCTCGCAAGCGAAACTTCTTTTAGCGTTTGTGCACAGACTTTTGGGCCACTTCATGCTAGTGCCCCGCTCAATTGTCATTACCGCTTTTTAATACACTTAACGCAAACACATTATGCACCAGGGGTACGCGGTAAATCACATTTATTGTGTTGCAGCTAAACAAATTTACGCGCACCCCCGAAATGAATTATGTAATAATACTTTGAAAAATATCATAAAATGTGTGATGTATAGTTCTCGCTTTGTGAAAACAGTTGTGGGGCGTCTTTTTGTGCCACCAAAGCTTTTCAACTTTGCGGAAAAAAATGTGTGATATCTTTCTGGGTGTCAAACGAAGCTTCAGCTTCAGCATCAGCATCAGCTTCAGCGTCAACTTCAGCTTTGCCTTGGCGACAGTTGAGAGCGCAGTGAATCTCGTTTTAATAATTTATTTTTGAGCGCACAGCAGGCTTCTCATTAACACACAAATACAGGCGCAGAATGACACACACACACACACACACACACACACAAACAGACACACACGAACAGACAGCAGCAGCAGCCATACGCATAGAACACGCACTTGGCAGCCTCGTTGGCGTTGATACGGTCGGCTGACTGCTGCATATCACCTTAATTACAGGCAGCAGTCTGGGCGCAGTCAGACGGCAAATGGCAGACAAGCTAACAGCGTTTATGGTGGGCCAAATTGCCATTCCCCCCCCAGCCATCAGCCCCCCCCACTCGTACAAGGCATATTGTCGTTGCCGTTACGCTTTAGCGATTCGTTACTGTACTCGACAGAAAGAGCAACGGATTCAGTTTGCACTCGACTGCTGATAAGCGTGCGATTCCTGCAGGGGCCTCCACTTAGCGCACACACACACAGAGACACAGGCAAACAGCTGCCGTGATGGCCATGAATACATGCACCGTTGGGTTGCGTTTATATCGGGCTTATGTTACATCTAAGTGAAATTTAAGGACTCCACTCAGCAGCTTACCAAATCCTCGGCATAGTTCATGGGCAGCCCTGATGTGGTGAATGGTGAATGGTGCGGGGGGCTCGTGGTGGCATTTCACATGATGAGTTTGCTTTTCACGGAAGCAGGAAGCCATCAAGGCACACACCCACTCACCGCCACACTCTTCTGTACACTCATCCTACATCTATTCACACACAGATACACAATCATGGCCGATGAGTGTCAGCTGGCAGAACAGAACAGAGAGCAGATCAGAGCCTAGCAGCCCAGCAGCCCAGCAGCCCAGCAGCCCTACAGCCAGATTCCACCTGCAACAGGACGTTGCCACTTACACGGACCATAACTGGCAATGGGCAACCCAACGAACCGGCCCCGAAAATGATACAAAAACCAGTGAAACCAGTGGAATGGCTCGAATGAGAACCGGGCCTAGACCGGGCCATTGTGCAGCCACTTCATTTCGATTCTAATAACTCCAATTACAAATGGCGGATGGGATAAAGCCATTGTGCATATGCGACCGAAAGGAGCGAAGGGTGGAATATCTGTGTGTGTGTGTGTGTGTGTGGGTTCGTTTGCCATGGTGGAGTGGGCTGGGGGCGGCTCAACTTGTTGCTGGACTTTATGCCATGCCAGCCGCTTTATCCAGGCTATTATATCAAGGACTTAATGTGAAAGGACAATGCACAGCCACACGCCAATGCCCCTGCCATGGCCATACTCGTTGCCGTTGCCATTGCCATTGCCGTGGGCTGGGATTTGCCTCGCAAAACAAATCGCACATAACAGGAACGGAAAAGGGACGAAGGGTCCACAGGCAGTGTGTGGAAATTGCAGAATGCCCACAAAGATTCACACAATTAGCCCGCCACTGAATGAGTTTTCCAGCCGCAGACCAGACCAGAGACAGGATTCAACATCGGAAATTTGTCAGTTTACAAATTTTATTCCTAGACTCTTCACTGGTAAGGTGGGGAGGGGTTGCTTAAAGCTAATATAATGGAGTGGGAAGGGTAATATTCAATGTGATCGCTTAGGAAACGTTACCGTGATGGAAACTCTAATAAGGTGTTTACTTCACGCGGAAGCGACGCAGAGTGGGTGGCAGATAGTCCTGGGAAGACACCACATTGGCGGGCAGGTACTCGGAGCTGGGGCTGTGCGACACGCTGACGGGTGCCGATTGGGCGGCTGGCGAGGCAAAGTTCAATACTGGAGCACGACCCTCGTTGGAGATGCGGGAGACGCCGGGCAGCTGGTTGTACTGGTTCTGGATGGCCAGCTGGGCATTGGCCGCATCCTCGGGCGTGCGGTACTTGACGAAGTGCACCTCGGGCTTGTTGCTGGACGTGGACTTGAGGGCGTTCAGCTGCTTGGCCAAATTGGCCACATCGGCCTGCTTGGACAGCACATAGATGGCGGTCTCCTGCTGGGCGGACTGCTTGGCCAGCTGCAGTGCTGCACGCTCGAATCCCCGGTTCTCGGGTGTGCGGATGAAGACGACGCGCAGGTTCTTCTTCAGCGAGTTGGCGATCTGCTGGTTGTTGACACCCTCATCGAACTGTTCCTCGGGCGCTGCGTAGCTGTAGAACTCCTTCTGAAACTCCTCGATCAGAGGCGCTGGCTGGGGAATGATGGCCTGTTGGATGGGTGCTTCGATGGGCAGCGAGAGCACCGCCTCACCACTCTGCACCTGCTGCAGCTGCTGCAGCTGCTGCTGCTGCTGCAGCTGCTGCTGCTGCTGCAGCTCGATGGGAATCTGTCCGCTGCCTGGCAGGAACGAGAGTCCCTCATCGGCATGGCCCACGGGCTGGTAGTTGTAGCCCAACTTATCGGCACTGCAGCTGGCAGCCAAGAGGCACAGAAGCTGTGGAAATAAATAATAAATCAATTCCATGATAAAATCCACAAATATTTGACTTACAATGAAGGCGCGCATTTTGTGTGTTTGGGTTGCTGCTGGCTTGGAGGTGACAAGATGAACTAATGCTTCAAGTTCGACAGAGTCTGGCTTTTATAGGCACAAACCACGCACTGAGAGAGGGAGAAAAATTCATCCATGCATTGATTCCCCCCACCCACAACCCCAAATGAGGGGAACGCCTGGTGCGGTGTGACCTTGCCGTTGTTTTCGATGCCATTTGAGGGTCATTAAAATGCCTCAACCATTTAAATATGCAAGCGTCTTCCCTTACCTAGGCTTAGGCCTAGACCTGATCCATGATATGTCTTTGACTTGCCTTTTCTTTTGATTTAAATGCACTCTACGACATTTATAAATATGCATGGATCGAGCGATCTGCGATTGCGAATGCTGCTGCTGCTGCTGCTGCTGCCACTGCCACATTATCTAATTGATTTGTGTTGGCTGCGACAGGCCATAAAACAGACTTCACAGTCGATGCTCCACAGCATCGGAGCAGGCAGCAGCAGCTGGCTGCCACTCTGTTGAAATGCCGTGGAAAAATAAACAGCTACTGGCTTTGCCGATAATATCTGGAAGTTTGCTGCTGGCTTTGAGTTTTTTGGGTCCATGCCGCTGCCCAGGCCCAGGCACTTGCCTGTCGACTCGACCCGACTAAGCCGGTAATTATAATTTTCATAATTTTCCACAACTTGGCTTTTTCACTGTGCTGGCTGCTAGCTGCTCGCTGCCGGCTGTCTGTTTGCTGTTGCCTGTTGGCTGCTCCCATTCGCCGCGGACGTCAATCTCTTTCGACGGTTCAGTTAATGAAGTTCCTTAACTAATTTAAACTTTTTGGCATCGTTTGATGGCCAAGCAAAGAAAGAATTTAACATTTATTTTTTATCAACAGCTGCGTGGGCCGAGGCCTGTTTTGAAGATACAGATACAAAGAGATAAGAGATACGGCGCAATACGGGGAACACCCAAAACTCATAATTACAATTTCCACTGTCAAGTCGCTGACTACGAGTGGCACTGATTTCATGCCAAAGTTTGGTTTAAGCAGGACTGGGCTTGGTTGATTGAATATTGATTCGAAAACACTCCTCTCTGCTCCCACTTGTTCTATTTTCTGTGATAGTATATATCACATATACTCGAGGGAAAGTGAATCTATAAAGTTTCGGCTACTCATGCTGCTTATTATCCCCCCTGTAACCCCTGCCAGCAAATATGGCGCCAAACTGCCGCCTAATTTGGGGTATGGCGAGCTCTGTAAAAACGGAGAAAAGATTGAAAAACACGCAAACTTGGCAGCTGCTGATGCTGGAGGGAATCCGATCCAAGAGTTGGACCTTGGACACACCTGTCCCAAAACTGCAGCCAGCCATGAGTAGTCGTCCTGGCTGCCACCGGCCTCCGGCCAGGATTAAAGCAGTTCGTTCTCGCTCTCTGGCTCGGCGAGGAGGTTTCTTCTCAATCTGCTGCTGTTCCTGCTCCTCTCAAGCAGAATGTGAGACCGGCAGCTTTGACGTGACTGGCAAACTTTTTGGCAGGCACCGCTAACGAGCGACGCTCCGACTGCTGGCTCGAAAATGCTTAAGCTAAAACTTGCTCAACAGATTTGCAGTGGCGGCGGGTGCCTTTTTTTACGGCTGCACTTCAGCGTGTCATATGGCAATGGAGGTGGAAGTGTGTGTTTGACCTTTGGCACTAAAACAATTTGCAAAGCGAAATGATGTCAGCCTCAGTGTCCTCCAGCTCCTCGACAGGCTTCCTGCTGTTTCTGCTCCTCCTCCTCCATCTAGTCGTAATTTAGTTGAAACATTCTTAAAGAAGCGCCTGTCGTAAAACCCGTGGCGACACCCAAGTTGGGGGCCAGCGGATGCGATAGCGTTGCGGCAGCTCATGTGGGTTGTGGGGGGGGCCGGGGTGCGGGCTAACTCCGAGCGCAGCTCATTAAAAAGTTTCCCAGCGACAACGGCAACAGCGGCAGCAGTGGCAGCAGCGGCGACATTTGCACAAGAAAACGAAAACATTTGCATGGTTGGGCGTTGGAGGAGTTGGATACCAACACCTTAATGATTATCCAAGAGATACTTTGAAGATACTCGGCATAATCCACGAAGTGTGTGTGTGTGTGTGCGGGCACTGGGAGAACTCAAAAGTAAAATGTTACGGTCTGGGGCCAAGCCGTGTAATTAATTATTCATAATAGCAACAAGAGCTATAGATAAACATCGGCCACCCACTGGGCCATCCTTTCGCTTGGCGCTACAACTAAATGTTTTTTGATTGAAATTTCAATTAAATTTGTTTACCAAGAAATGCAAAGCGAATCCTATCCCCGAAATACATTGAGTAATTTATGGGCTTTGCGTTGTTTTTGGCGTTGGTTTATTTTCCCATAAAGCAAGGGAGAATTTTCACTGAAAACTGAGTAATTCAAACGCCTCAAAAGTTTGTTTTTATTTATTAATTACAATTAAAATTTAATTTAGTTTTTTTGCAGTCTTTGGCAGAGGCTCTTTTCTAGTCATGTCCTAGCTTGAGTACCTTCCTGGCGGCAGGTATGCCCGGAACAGCGCCTGCAGCCGTGCCATCTCCAGTTCTGTGGCCTCCTCGTGCACTTCATAGTCGGAGCCACCTTTCGGCAGGATCTTGAAAATTACTGGCTCTGGCTTTTGGCTGATCTGTGGAGCAGGCTGTTGGATGAACTGCGGGGCAGGCTGTTGAATGAACTGTGGAACCGACTGCCGTGCAGTTTGTTGCTGCTTCACCTCGAAGACATCGGCAGTCTCGATGGCATGGCTAATACTGTTGCCGGGCAGCCGATCGTAGCCGTTCCTCAGGCTTGCCAGTGCCCGTGTGACATCCGCAGGCGTTCGATACTTGACAAAGTGCACCGACGGCCTGTGCTCCGCCTGCCGCTGGATGTCCGCCTGCTGTTGGGCCAAGGCTGCGGTATCCGCCTGCCGCTGCAGCACATAAATGTCCAGTGGATTCTGTGATGCCAGCTGCTTGGCCGTCAGCGTGAAGAGATTCGTCTCCGGTGTGCGAATGAAGACGACCTGCTGTGGTGGCGACAGTGCCTTGGCCAGCTGCCGAGCTGCCTGCCAGGGCGCTGACTGATCCTCATCCGGCGGAGCTGCATAGGTGAAGTATTCCGTGGACAAAGGGCGCTCCTGGGGTGGCAGATAGGCGTTGTTCAGGGCATGGCTAATGCCAAAGAGCAGTGAAATTGACTGTGGAGGGGAATGGTTATTCTCTGGTTCGATTTCATGGCCTTCATCCCATTCCTACATACCATTAGGGTGCGCATTGCTGAGAGGATATTTGAGGTATGGTTTGGATGGCGGCCTGCCGCGGCTGATTTTCACCGCTCGAAGCTCTGTTTGGTTATAGTCTAGTCACAGCAACAAAACCATCCTTATATACGACACAAACAACAAAATGTTCGAAAAAGAGCTGACTTCTCGGCAGCGTCGTCGCTCTTTATGATTATTTCGTTGTATTTAATTTTTTTGCATTCGTTTTTCTTTTTATTTTATGAACTTATAAAAGATTTTTGCAAACGTTGCCTCTATGGGCTCTGGCTCCAGCTCTGCTCTGGTTTTGTGTGTCTGCTGCTCCGATTATCCATGTTAATGTCGTTCAATTTTGAAATGCAAATTCCCCGAGACAAAAGCCAAAGCCAACATACTATGTGGAGGTCCGAGCCGGGCCCGACGTGAACTTGAATTTAATTCGCATAAAATTTACAAATGAGCTCCCAATTTGAATTAGTTATCAAATATTTTCATATGCTATTGGGGCACACCATTGTTGTCGCCTGTCATAGACATAGCCATTTGTTGTGACTGCTCCCCCCCAACTCTCTGATCTCTGGAGGCTTACACCTTCGCAGCTTTACTTTCACTTGGAAGATATTTTTATGGTCAACGTTTTATGGCTACCTCATTCGTTAATTTACACGTCATTTTTATGCCTTTTTTCTTCTTTTTCAGAGTCTTCTTTTTGTCATAAGCAAACGAGCAGCTACTAGGCCCGGTTCGGATCTGATAAGCCGCTTAACGAACAATTTACAACTCGAGCCGAGCATCGATCGCATCCGTTGAGCCCTCGCTTAAGAAGCAAAAACACTGGTGGCAATTCATTGATCTCTCGAGTTTTATTTGCAGCTACAACTAGATACACACAGGGGCAGTCTTATGGAACTATTTTAATGTCTTAATTAGCGGAGAAGGAGGGTTAATATCTAGTGATGAGCGCGTCTGCGGCGCCTGGAGGCTTGCTGGGAGCGGTAGTAGTTGGAGGAGCTTAATTCTGTGGGAAAGACCATGCGACTGCCCGAGCGGCGTCGCTCGTTCGCTCGGAATCCAGTGCGAAGCGATCTGCCAGATCGTTCGTCTAAATCGTCGTAGTTGGAGCCGAGATCCTGCTGCGGCTCAGGCAGCGGTGGCAGATCGATCTGCCCCAGTGTGGACCCAGCTCCCGCCGCATTGTAGCCCTGAGCAATGGAGGCATAGTTGGGCAAAGACGGGAGATATGCTGCTGCTGGTGGTGGCAGATAACTCGATTGTGGAGCTGGTGGCAGGTAACTCGACTGAGGCCGAGGCAAGTAGCTTGGTTGCTGCGCTGGTGGCAGGTAACTCTTTTGCGGCAGAGGTGTCGGCAAGTAACTGGTCGATGGGGAAGGTGTTGGCAAGTAGCTGGACTGAGCTGTAGATGCTGGCGAGTAGCCAGGCGGCAGCCGCGATGGCGGTGATTGTGGCTCTGGATAATAGCCCTGCTCCTGCTCCTGCTCCTGTTCCGGCTGTGGCTGCTGCTCCGGATAGTAGCCCAATGAGGATGCCTGTGCTGCGACCTGCGGGGAGCCCGTCCCGCCGTACTGCGCCTGAATGTGCTGCTGTGCCTGAAGTGCCTCCGCTTCCGTCCTGTATTTGACAAAATGAACTAGGGGCTTGTGTTTGTGCTGCGTCTTCAGGACGCTCAGTTGGCTTGCCAGTTCGTTCGAGTCCGTCTGCTTGTTCAGCACATAGATGGCGGTCTTATCATCGGTGGTTTGCTTGGCCAGTGCGTTGAGGGCACCCACCACGGCCTTGTTTTCCGGCGCCTTGATGAACACCACCTGCAGGTTCTTCTGCGAGAGGGAGGCCAACTTGGTCTCCACCTGGTCCGCCTCCTCGCTGGAGTCGTAGGGCGCCTCGAAGGCATAGAAATGTTTGTGGAAATCGGCATGGTCCTCGTAGTGTTCATTAGCTAATGTTGGATAGCCAGCATCCCCAGAGGCTGCTTCGTTGCCATAGTCCTGAGCTGCAGCTCCATAGCTGTTGAGCGGAGGAGCATTGGTCTGCTGGTACTGGTAGCCCAACTCTGCCGAGCAGCAGCAGATGCAGAGAGATAAAAGAAACTAAAATATATTATATTAATAATCAAATCTTTAGCTGTCATTCCATAGTGTTCATTCCGCTTACCACAATTCCCAGCATGATATAACCACTGCGAAGAGCAACAGGCATTTGTCGTACCATCCAGCTGTCCCGAAGCGTTTTATAATCTTAGCTCGTCTCTGAACCCCCACCAAATTCGGACTAATGGTCGCCCCTCCTTATAGGGTAAATAGTTCAATGTCGCACTACGAATTTCGCCAGCTATTCCCAGACGATTACAACATTTCGCATTAACATTATTGTATTTATTTATATTTATTTTTCTTTTGGACTTGTCTCGAAAATCGCAATACTGACCATTCAACAGAGATGGTAATCTCCACATGGAGAGGGAGATGGGTCGCAGCAAGTGCGTAGGAACAGTGGGAAGGGAGGGAAGGGTCGTTCGGTTCTATGCCCTACAGACAAAGACGGCTTACAGGCGATGACGCAGCACCGATGCGGGCAGGTACGAGTTCTTGGGAGAGGATGGAGCAGCCACTGGGCGAGCGGGTGCCCGAGAGGCAAAGTTCAGCACGGGGGCAACGCCGCCGTTCTGGATGGAAGAGGATCCTCCGAGCTGATCGTACTGTCCCTGGATGGCCTGCTGGGCATTGGCAGCATCCTCGGGTGTGCGGTACTTGACGAAGTGCACCTCGGGCTTGTTGTTGTTGTTGTTGCGGATGGAGTTCAGCTTGTTGGCCAGATCTCCGATGTCAGCCTGCTTGTTCAGCACATAGATGGCAGTATCCTGCTGGCCGGCCTGCTTGGCCAGAGCCAGGGCAGCGTTCTCCAGGCCCCGGTTCTCGGGTCCCTTGATGAAGATCACGCGCAGAGCCTTGTTCAGGGAGCTGGAGACCTGCTCGGAACCGGCTGGCTCATTAAATTCGCTCTCATCGGCGGTGTAGGTGAAGAACTCCTTCTGCAGCTCGGTCTGGGGGGCAGAGTAGTTGGGTGCGTCAGCCGAAGGAGCGGCTTCGGGTGCGCTGCCAAAGGACTCCGAGGGGGCATTGTATGTGGGCTGCTCCTGGGTGGCAGCTGCCGCTGGGCTGTAGGACTGTCCACCAGTTGCTGGAGCGGAAGCAGCCTGATTGTACGATGGTCCGGCCGCAGACGGCGCATAGGAGGAGGGGCCAGTGGAGGCGGATGGCTGATAGTTGTAGCCGAGCGAGTCGGCGCTAACAGCAGCCACAAGGCACAGGGCCTGAAGAAGAAGGATGTTATTTATAAGTCTCTAAATGTTCGCCGAATAATTGAGAAGGACTTACAATGAGCAAACGCATCTTGTGGGACTTGTGTAGGTGGATAACTCCGATCGGTTTGCTGGGTAAACTTCGAGTATGCTGATGTCACAGACGCCCACGTCTTTTATGCCAAAAAAGTTTGATTGCAGTTTGCAACTCTCCTAATTAGCATTTTTCCCATTTATTTTTGCACCTCATTTGGAGCAGGTCGAAGCTGCTTGTCGCCATTCGCTGGTCTTTCTGGCCAATTCCCACTCGCTTTTTGCTCACTTTTAATGTTTACTCTTTACTGATTTTGGAGTATCGCTGCCAATCGTTGGACTAAGTCTTAGTCTCAGTCTTAGTTGTGTCTCTGCTCTGCGCATCGTTATCGGTTTTTCGTGCTTCTCTTGGCTTTGTTTTTTTTTCTTTTTGCATAATTTTATATGATTTTTCTAACAAACTCTGCTGGTGACTCTGCTGCTTATGCTAATCAGCCGTAGTGGGTGCTCTTGAACAGAGCTGGCGATGTCCACTTTGGCTCTTTGTTATTGGCTGGCTGGCCATTCATCCGACCGCTCTGTTATCACTCATACATTATGTATTACCACGATCTGGGCTTGAAGCATCTTGGTTCCGTCTTGCAGTTGCCATAAATTCACGCGCTAATAGTTTGTCTAACCTTTTACTTCGCGCAGATTAACATTTTAATTATGATAAAAAAATTTCGTCGATTGTTTTGCTGCCGCCTGCCTGCTGCATTCAAGACAACAAAAAAATGTAAATTTGTTTTTATTGATTTCCACTTGTATTCCATTTGGCGCCGTCGCTTGGGAGTTTTTATTGCCACTCAAGGCATGTAAAATACGCCGAGATCTGCAATTTTTCAAACCAATTTCAAGCGAGTGACTAATCAGCGTCCACCCATCGACATTCACTTTTGACACTGACAACTCCATTTCCACTCCATATCCCGCACCTTTCACAGACAGTAAAACACTAGATTGCTTTGGTTTAAAATATAATTGTATTTGGGTCGATCGACAAATCAATAGATAACACAAGAGCTAACAAATGGCAGATGGAAGAGCTCCAGAGGCTGGAGCCAGGGCTGTGGCGGAGGCTGAGGCTGTGGCCTTCCTAGTAACGGAAGCGCAGGCGACGCAGCACCGACGAGGGCAGGTACGAGTTCTCGGGGATCTGGGCATTGGGCTGACGCACCTTCGAAGCGGAGGCGAAGTTCAGGGCTGGGGCAACACCACCATCGGTGGCCTGAGAGGATCCACCCAACTGATCGTACTGAGACTGGATGGCGCGCTGTGCGTTGGCAGCGTCCTCGGGGGTGCGGTACTTGACGAAGTGCACCTCGGGCTTGTTGTTGGTGTTGCTGCGAATGGCATTCAGCTTGCTGGCCAGATCTCCGATGTCAGCCTGCTTGTTCAGCACATAGATGGCAGTCTCCTGCTGGGCAGCCTGCTTGGCCAGAGCCAGAGCAGCGTTCTCCAGGCCACGGTTCTCGGGTCCCTTGATGAAGACGACACGCAGACCCTTGTTCACAGAGCTGGAGACGCGCTCCAATGCCTGGGGCTCATCGAAGTCCTCCTCGTTGGCGGAGAAGGTGAAGAATTCCTTGTTGAGTTCAGCAGATGGAGCAGGGGCGTTGTAGCTGACGCCGCCGCCAAGACCGGAGGAGCCAAGGCCGGAAGATCCCAGACCGGAGGATCCCAGACCGGAAGATCCCAGACCGGAGGAGCCAAGACCAGAGTAGCCAAGACCGGAAGATCCCAGACCGGAGGAGCCAAGACCAGAGTAGCCAAGACCAGAGGATCCCAGATCGGAGGATCCAAGACCAAGTCCAGACAGGTCGCTGGAGCCACCGCTCAGACCGCTGTCCAGGCTGCCGTAGTTGCTGCCGCCTCCTAGGCCGCCTCCTAGGCCGCCTCCTAGGCCGCCTCCTAGGCCACCTCCCAGGCCACCTCCCAGGCTGCCTCCAAGTCCTTGGAGTCCTCCTCCGATACTTCCACCGCTAAGGCTGCCGCTGCCAGGAGCAAAGGAGAGGCCGGCGTTGGAGTGTCCCACCGGTCGGTAGTTGTAGCCGAGCTTATCGGCGCAGGCGACTGCCACGAGGCACAGGACGATGAAGGCGCGCATCTTTGTTCTGATGTTCTACTTGGAGCTCTCGATTGAGAATGATGTCGGAGGTGGTCGCTGGGCCATTTATATACATGGATGTCAATCAGAACAAGCGCTTGACAATCATGCTAGAGATCACGATAAGGTTCGCTTTGTTTTGGGGCCAACCTGTTTTTCTTTTCTTCTTGTTTGGCGGCGTCTATTTTGGCCTGGTCGCAGCTCGCAGCCCAAGAAGAGCCACAACAACAACACCAACAACAATAACACCAAAAGTACAAGCAGCGGCAGCGTCGCTGGCATCGTTGGCGGTGGTGGCGTTGGCGGCGACGGTGTTGATTAAAATTTGATGAACTTGCAGCCTACAATCCGTCGAATCTTTATGCAAATCAGCTCAGTCGAGCCACAAAGGGCTGGGCGTCGGCAGAAGCTCCAAATTGTTCGTCTGTGCAGTAGCCAGGTTCCTTTGTTCATTCATTTTGTTATGCAAATCGCTTAGCTGCCCCGTGCCCGAGCGATGATTGAAAGTAAGACTGAGTCTGACCAATGCTTTTGAGGCTAATTTTCCAGCTTAATATTTTTAAATTGCTCCCCACCATGGATTTGGCCATTGTCAGCTGTCGTCTGCCGTCTAATGCAATTTGTCAAAAGCGGCAGATTCAATTTGCCGAATGCGTGGGCCCCACTCTGAGTTGGCAGCCAGCAGATACGCGATAAGCCGTGTGTTATACACCGGGTTATACAAAACGCTGCCAGCGAACATGTTATATTTCCGCTCATTTGCAATTTTCATAAACAGCCTAGCCGGCGGACTCATAATTCAGCACCCGTCGGACTCGTTTGCCAGCCCCACCCCAGCCCCAAACTGCCGAATGGAGTTCAACAAATACGACAACACGGAATCCATACATACCGGCTCGGAAACTCGCAAAATACATTCCGAATTTCCATGCTGAGGAATGTTCGTTGAGCTGAGAAGATCCGCAAACTATTTTTTGGCCATTTAGAATTAACAAACAAATTTATTTTCGTATCATTAGCAAAAACAGAGGAACAATAAACAAAGGAATGTCGGAATGCCCAAGACTGAGCTTCGGACTGAGAACTTAGAATCGCAGACGACGCAGAATGTTGGCCGGCAGGTAGGTGTTGCCAGGCGTCGGGGGTTGCACATAGGAGGAAATTGGAGCAGTGGCCTCAGGCAGGCCGACGGGCACGAATGGGCCCTGAGAGATGCCAGCGCCTGGGGCAGCGGCAACTGGAGCTGGCGCGCTCGATGCGAAGTTCAGAGAGGAAGCGACGCCACCATCATGGGCCTGGGAGGATCCTCCGAGCTGATCGTACTGTCCCTGAATGGCCTTCTGGGCATTGGCCGCATCCTCGGGTGTGCGGTACTTGACGAAGTGCACCTCGGGCTTGTTGTTGGTGTTGCTGCGGATGGAGTTCAGCTTGTTGGCCAGATCTCCGATGTCAGCCTGCTTGTTGAGGACATAGATGGCGGTCTCCTGCTGGGCAGCCTGCTTGGCCAGAGCCAGAGCAGCGTTCTCGAGGCCACGGTTCTCGGGTCCCTTGATGAAGACGACGCGCAGAGCCTTGTTCAGGGAGCTGGAGACCTGCTCGGAACCGGCTGGATCGTAGAAGTCACCCTCGTCAGCGGTGTAGGTGAAGAACTCCTTCTCGAGCTCAGCCTGGGGAGCGGCATAGTTGGGGGAACCCGAAGAAGAGGCTCCAATGGGACCATCGATCGGTGCAGCGAGTGCAGGAGCAAAGTTAGGTGCCTCGTTGCTGGCCAAACCCGATGGCTGGAAGCTGCCCGAACCCGACGGCTGGAAGCTGGGGGCATCATTGCTGCCCAATCCCGATGACTGGAAGCTGGGTCCCGCTGCAAATGCGGGCGCCTCATTGCTGGGCAGGCCGGATGGCTGGAAGCTGAGTCCGGAGGGTGAGTGGGCCACCGGCTGGTAGTTGTAGCCCAGTTTGTCGGCGCTGGCCACTGCGGCGAGGCAGAAGCAGAGGATGAGGGAGAATTGACGCATGTTTAGCTGGCGGATTTGCGGTGGAGTGTGGTGCTGGTGGCAGATGATTCTTTGGCTTTTATGCAGATGGCTATGTGAGGCATTTACTGTTATGCAAAAGCTCTCGCATAAAGCAGTCTAATTATGGTCGCCAAAGAGCCCAAATATGCATGAGATCCGCTTGAATGCACTGCTCAGTGTTGGTATCCGTGTGGCTTGGCAGGAAGAGGCATGGTGTGTCCATGCTGTCGCCATAAAATTCATATTAAATTCAATATGCGTATGTGCTGCTTGAATTAATAATTTTGCTTATTCTTATTCGCGGGTCAACCTTGCCAAAATTGGCAGCTAACACAGCCTTATCGTTGGAATCAATAAATTCCAACTAGAAACAAAAAGATATGCCAACAGCGCATCGTAAAAAACCGATTCGGGTCAATTTCATAGCCTCTTACTCAGCTGCACACCCACACCTGTTCCCTCTTGCCCCTAGCCACAGGGGACAGCCCTCGGGGGAATGACAAGTGTCGCCCACAATTGGTCCGCGAGCAAACAAAACGTTTGGCAGACCGTTTCATATGCAAATGAGGCGCGCCTAGTCGCGTTTTTGGTTTATTTGTTAGCTGTCTGCCAAAAATAAATATTTTAACGATTCGCGAAATTATTATTGCCTTTTTCAGCGGCTTTGTTCGCTTTGTGTTTTTTTGTCCACTTGTATGCTCGGATTTATGCAAATGTTGCGGGTGGAGGCGACCTTCCGCAGTCGCAGTCGCAGTCGCAGCCGCAGTCGACGCTCGTCTGCGCCGGAAGTGCGACTTCGACTTCATCGCTAAATATAGCCGCCATCTCCTTTCTGCCCCTCAGCATCTACTCCTAATTAACAACTGCACTGCAGCGACTTGTCAGCGTCAGACAAATAAGACAATCTGATAATTGGGCGATAAAGCGTATTAATAAATTACTTGGCGTCATCTGATTTGGCAATCGGAATCGGAATCGGAATCGAAATCGACCGTTCTGGCTATCAGCTAATTTGCATTCCGCAGCCAGCCTTCCACAAAACATGATTTCATATCGCGAAAATGCTATGCAAAAATGTCAAAAATTCCATGCAAAAATTTGCAGCCGCAGCAGCAAATGGCAGCGTGACAAATCATAAAATACAAATACATATAAATATAATAAAGAAAACGTTTTTTAAGCAGTTTATTTATGCATTTTTAAAGCAAATTTAGACTCTTAATATTTCATATCTATTATAATGCAGTTTTAGATCACGAATTTCGCCGTTTTTTGGCAGTTCGAAAAATTGAATCTTGCACTTATAAAAGCTCAGAGGGCGCCCAACAAAGGCAGTTACAAATCATCTCTCCAATCCACCAAATCACCAGTCGCACACCACAATCCAAAATGCGTGCCTTCATCGTCCTTTGCCTCGTGGCCCTGGCCAGCGCCGACAAACTGGGCTACAACTACCAGCCGGTGGCCCACTCACCCTCCGGACTCAGCTTCCAGCCATCCGGCCTGGCCAGCAACGAGGCGCCCGCATTTGCAGCGGGACCCGGCTTCCAGCCATCGGGATCGGGCAGCTTCCAGCCTTCCGGATTGAGCAGCTTCCAACCGTCCGGACTGAGCAGCTTCCAGCCATCGGGATTGGCCAGCAATGAAGCGCCCAACTTTGCGTCCGCACCCTCTGCACCGATCGATGGTCCCATTGGAGCCTCTACATCCGGTTCCCCCAACTATGCCGCTCCCCAGGCTGAGCTGGAGAAGGAATTCTTCACGTACACCGCTGACGAGGGTGACTTCTACGATCCAGCTGCCTCCGAGCAAGTGTCCAGCTCCCTAAACAAGGCTCTGCGCGTCGTCTTTATCAAGGGACCCGAGAACCGTGGCCTGGAGAACGCTGCCCTGGCTCTGGCCAAGCAGGCTGCCCAGCAGGAGACTGCCATCTATGTGCTGAACAAGCAGGCTGACATCGGAGATCTGGCCAACAAGCTGAACTCCATCCGCAGCAACTCCAACAACAAGCCCGAGGTGCACTTCGTCAAGTACCGCACACCCGAGGATGCGGCCAATGCCCAGAAGGCCATCCAGGGACAGTACGATCAGTTGGGTGGATCCTCTCAGGCCCATGATGGTGGCGTCGCCTCCTCGCTGAACTTTGCCTCGCAGCCAGCACCCGCACACGAGAATATTGGTGGCTCTGCCAGCGCTCCAGGCGCCAGCTACTTGCCCGCCAACATTTTCCGCCGTTACCGTTTCTAGGTTGGAACTCAGAACTTGTTGATTTGTTGCTTAGTTGTCTTGTTGCTTTATTGTTTAAATAAATGAAAATTTTAAAGAAATTATGAATTAGTTTGTTCTGTTGATAAATGAGTCGCAAGCGTAAGGATTCGGATGGAAGCACCTAAAATGTATGGAAAAGATTTTGGCACTCTTTTGTGTTTATCCATGAAATTTCGTATTACTTGGAACCAAAAATAAAACATCATTCCTGTCTGAATGACTGAATGGAATGACTCCTAAACATATGCTTCAAAAAAACATCTTGCCACCAATTTAAAGCTCGAATAAAATGTATTCATATTTTATTTTTGTTTATTTAAGATGACTTAATAGGATTGAAATCATAAAATATTATCATAAAATATTGCCGGATCGAGGTGATGTCAATTCTGACATGGTTCCTTTATAAATAGACCAGAGAGTTGTGGCGACTGAGACTCGGAGAGACTAATGATGTAATCTGAGTTTTCGTCCCATTCAGAACAGAATGATGTTACCAGGAGAGGTCAGGTCGGTGTGCCAGTGACGCAATTTGATGTTGATGGCACTTATATTGGGGACTAGTGTGGAATTCCCCAGCCGATACGAAACCAGTTTCCAGTCACATACGTGGCCGAATGGCGAGTTCAAAGAGCTCTTCCGACAGCATTCTTTCTGACGTTGAACCGCGAGCAAGAAACTTGTTCGAATTCCAAGTCACTTTCGATTCTTGGCGAGGCAGAGATCCATAAACAATTAATGGAATCAGCATATCTATAGATTAGTGTTATGGACTTGTAGGCGGAACTCCTAGAATGCAACGCATTGTTGTGGCATTTAACGACCGCGAAAACATTTATTGCCGGCTATTACTTTTTTTTCGAAACGAGTTCGATAGTTTTGCAGCATTTTCCCAGCACTGTCGAATGTCAAATTCCAATTCCAAATCAGATCGCCCAAGAATAAAAACAGGCGCCGGGAACCGGTCGTCCCAAGCGCCTCTGCATTTGAACAGAAAGTCTGGGCACGACTGGCTGACTGGATCGGCTCTCTATGGAGGAATTAGATAGTTTTGCATAATCATTTCATAAGCGCAACACTTTGCATAAAAAACTAGTTGAGTTATGAAGCGAACCCGATCGGGAACCATTTCGTCTATTGTTCTAAGCCCGATCCCGCTGCGGTTCTTCCGTATAAAAGGTGCTCGCCGCAGCCTCAGGATTCAGTCTTGGCTTTTCCTTTGTCTGTTCACTACACCTCAATCCACCTCAATCGACAATGCGTTTCCTTATCGCTCTCTGCCTGATCGGCGCAGCATGCGCCCAGTACAACTACGGTGCCGGACAGTACACTGGCTCCGCCTCCGAAAATGTTCCCAGCTACTCCGGTGGCTCTGACACCTCCTACGATGCCGCTCCCAGCAGCCAGAGCAGCAACTACGCGCCCTCCAGCGAGCTGAACAAGGAATACTACACCTTCCAGGCTGATGAGAACGATTTCGAGGATCCTCTGGCCGACCAGAAGATTTCTGGCTCCGTGAACAGGGGTCTCCGCGTCGTCTTCATCAAGGGACCCGAGAACCGTGGACTCGAGAACGCTGCCCTGGCCCTGGCCAAGCAGGCTGCCGAGCAGAGGACCGCCATCTATGTGCTGAACAAGCAGGCCGATATCGGGGATCTGGCGAACAAGCTGAACGCCGTCCGTCAGAATGCCAACAACAAGCCCGAGGTGCACTTTGTCAAGTACCGCACACCTGAGGATGCTGCCAACGCCCAGCGCGCCATCCAGGGACAGTATGACAACCTGGGAGGATCCTCGCAGTCCATCAACGGAGGCATTGCCAATGCCATCAACTTCGCCTCCCAGGCCCCAGCGGGTCCCTCCCGCCAGTCCGGTGGCAACTACTCGCCGCCCGGTGCCGTGAGCAACTCCTACCTGCCCGCCAACATCCTGCGCCGCCTGCGCGTCCGTTAAGGAGTTGAGAAGGAGCTCCGCCCTGATATTGTTGTTGTATATAATGCCCCGTTGTACCAATTTTTAAACGAATAAAGACAAAAAACGATGTAAACCCAAACACCCAGTCGATGTGTTCGTGATCTTGTGTAATAGTTGTGGCGGTCGCATTCCTCGCATTCAACATTGCCGGCCGCATTGTGTGCGGTTATTGCATTTTTATGCTCATGTTTTTTATTTTGATCGATTTTCCTTATAATAACGTTTATGCAAAGCCGAATTGCTCGGCTCCGATCGCACACAAAGGCCGAGCGCGCGCGCTGCCTACTTTGTAGGCGGAAAAAAAACATTTAGCCGCGTCATCGCTTTGTCTTTGAGAAGCTGCGCAGACAGCCTCGAAGACAGACTTGTATAAATAATAACCGCCGTCGCAGAGACACTCAGAAGCCAACCGTGCCTCAAAGCAACAGAACCAAAGCAGCAGAATCCAAGATGCGCGCCTTCATTGTAAGTTTCCCGGCAGGATCAGCGCCCAAGAGCTGTTACTAATGGATTACTCTCGCCCACAACTTACCATAGGTTATGTGCCTGATCGCAGTCGCCTGCGCCGATAAGCTCGGCTACAACTACCAGCCCGTGGGACACTCCAACTCCGGCCTGTCCTTCGCTCCTGGCAGCGGCAGCATCGGCGGTGGCAGCATCGGCGGTGGCAGCCTCGGCGGTGGCAGCCTCGGCGGTGGAAGCATTGGAGGAGGACTCCCAGGAATTGGAGGCGGTCTCGGTGGTGGCAGCATTGGCGGTGGATCCCTTGGCGGTGGATCCCTTGGCGGTGGATCCCTTGGCAGTGGCAGCATTGGCGGTGGATCCCTCGGAGGTCTGGGCAGCCTTGGCGGTCTGGGCGGCCTCGGTGGTCTGTCTGGCGATTCCCTGAACGCTCCCCTCTCCTACAACGCCCCTGCCCCAGCTGCTGAGCTCGAGAAGGAGTTCTTCACCTACTCTGCCAACGAACAGGACTTCGATGAGCCCCAGGAATTGGAACGCGTCTCTAGCTCTGTGAACAAGGGTCTGCGCGTTGTCTTCATCAAGGGACCCGAGAACCGTGGACTCGAGAATGCTGCTCTCGCTCTGGCCAAGCAGGCTGCCCAGCAGGAGACCGCCATCTATGTGCTGAACAAGCAGGCTGACATCGGAGATCTGGCCAGCAAGCTGAATGCCATTCGCAGCAACACCAACAACAAGCCCGAGGTGCACTTCGTCAAGTACCGCACCCCCGAGGACGCTGCCAACGCACAGCGCGCCATCCAGTCTCAGTACGATCAGTTGGGTGGATCTTCCCAGGCCACCGATGGTGGTGTTGCCCCAGCCCTGAACTTCGCCTCCGCTGGCCCAGTGCGTCAGGCTACTGCCCAGAACCCCGACAACTCCTACCTGCCATCTTCGGTCTTCCGTCGCCTGCGCTACTAAAAAGTGATTTGCTGAATGGTTTCGAGCCATCGAAACTACTTCTGGTCCTTGTTAAAGAGTTATTGTTGAAACTTATTGATAAATTTAAAATAAAATAAAATCGAAAAACAAATTTAAACAGTTTTGAGTAATTAGAAGATGAATCGTTTGGGTGGTTTCATCTGCAGAAATTTGATTCTCATTTACAGCCTACTTATTTACAGCCGACTTATGGCTCAAATAATCTTGGAAAATGTAGGACTTCGAATTTTGACTGTTTTTTGCCAAATTAGTAAGGGGTAAGTCGTGATTGGGTTTCGGGCAGGCTAAAAAATATTTTGAGAAATTTATTTTTACTCAAAATTAAATTGTAAACAATTTATGGAAGTTTTTGATTATAAATAAAATGAATGATTCATGTCTATGGCATGTTCTAAATAAGTGCCTTTTCATGATCATTGAGTATACTATTCAGGAAAAGATTTTATGCATATTCTTCCGTCTTGCAATATTTTGGAATTCGATTGTCCTTGGAGGTCGATGATCCAAAAAATGAGTATTATATTAAGCCAAATCATTATCGTTCAAAGTTGAAGCGAAACTCGAACTAAAAATAGCTGGATGAGTCAATAGATAAATCAGAGAGGCGGCAGCTGAGACACCTCATTAGATGCACCCACTAATTATGGGGCTTGTGTCATGCCCATAGATCAAAACCATAAAGATGTGTCGAAATCGATTATGATAGCTAAACGATTGTCGGTTTGCGGGAAAACCAAGTGCAGATGTCCTACATAAAACAAGCCGATTAGCCTTGCGGAAGAATTTGAGGCAAGAGATATTTATTTCATATAATACATAATTATGACCCATCTGCATGATAAACTCATTCCGATGTGCTCGCGACATATTAATTTTATAATTTTATATTAATTCTTGTAAAATTATTGAATAAAAACTCGAATATTTGAATAACCCAAAGCCACCACCAGCTGTCGCTGTCCAATCGGCAGCGCCACTCCAAGCCTCTGCGCTGCCCATCTAAACGCAACAAAAATTCCATTGCGACCATAAAACCAAAGAGGCAAAAACCTTTGTAGGCGGCAAAACACAGTGGCATCAAAGCGATCTCCGTGCAGCGGCGACGCCGCGTCGGCATCTTTGTCTTTGTCAGCCTCGAAGATGGATTTGTATAAATAATAAAGATCGCTCCCATCCAAATACAGAAGCAGTTCATATCTCGCATTGAAAGAACCAAAAAAAGAAGCAGCAAAATGCGCGCATTCATCGTAAGTCCCACAGTCGCCTCATCGCCTGGATAACCATGGATAACCCTTCCCCTCTTCTTCTCTTCCTCTGTGCCACAGGTCTTGTGTTTAGTGGCAGTCGCCTGCGCCGATAAGCTCGGCTACAACTACCAGCCCGTGGGACACTCCAACTCCGGCCTGTCCTTTGCTCCTGGCAGCGGCAGCATCGGTGGTGGCAGCATCGGCGGAGGCAGCCTCGGCGGTGGCATCATCGGCGGAGGCAGCCTCGGCGGTGGATCCCTTGGCGGTGGATCCCTGGGCGGTGGCAGCATTGGCGGTGGATCTCTCGGAGGTCTGAGCGGCCTTGGCGGTCTGGGCGGTCTCGGTGGTCAGTCCAACGATGCTATCAGCGCTCCCGTCTCCTACAACGCCCCTGCCCCAACTGCCGAGCTCGAGAAGGAATTCTTTACCTTCACTGCCAACGAACAGGACTTCGATGAGCCCCAGGCTTTGGAACGCGTCTCTAGCTCTCTGAACAAGGCCCTCCGCGTCGTCTTCATCAAGGGACCCGAGAACCGTGGGCTCGAGAACGCTGCTCTGGCTCTGGCCAAGCAGGCTGCCCAGCAGGAGACCGCCATCTATGTGCTGAACAAGCAGGCTGACATCGGAGATCTGGCCAACAAGCTGAACTCCATCCGCAGCAACACCAACAACAAGCCCGAGGTGCACTTCGTCAAGTACCGCACCCCCGAGGATGCTGCCAACGCACAGCGCGCCATCCAGTCTCAGTACGATCAGTTGGGTGGATCCTCTCAGGCCACCGATGGTGGTGTTGCCCCAGCCCTGAACTTCGCCTCCGCTGGCCCAGTGCGTCAGGCTACTGCCCAGAACCCCGACAACTCCTACCTGCCATCTTCGGTGTTCCGTCGTCTGCGCTTCTAAATGGATTCCCAGGACTTAGCTTAAGTGTGAACCGTCTGAAGAAGCGACTCACGACCGACTCTTATTGTTAAAAATTGTTGACTAATGCATAATTAGACGAATAAATGTTATATTTGACCCCGAAAAAATCAGACAAAGGTGTTCTTTTAATGTTTCGTTAAGTGCCCGTTTTATTGCCGGTCTCTGCTCTGAATTTTAGTGATACAATAAAATCGGAGTCGTGATCTCGTTTGCAAACGGATTCGCTAAAAATATAGACAATGGCCTTCAAACTATAAATAGTTGGAGTTAGTTCGAGCTAGAATTTAGAGTGGCTTCATGGACAGGTTTCTGCGAAGAATGAAAAGAATTCTCTTTGAGCTAAACGCTATTGACAAATTCCTTTCCTGCCGTTCCGAACAAATTAGCTACAAGATTACTCGGTGATCAACGCCCACCAACCTAGGCGCCGGGGAGACATTAATTCCGTACTCCCAGTTAGCCGCTTGACTAATTCCCCGCCGGTGACAGCTGAAGGTCTTCGAGCTGCCAACAACAGTTAGGTGACCTGGTTTCCGATGTGGTGGTGTGGTGTCTGTGTGGTGGCCCCGCCGTGTGTCAGGTACAATTAGAAAGGAATCTCAAGTGCAACCCACATACGAAGACAAAGCGGAGAAGATTTATGCTCGATCGAAACCTGATTAGCCATAAAAACAGAAATCTAATCATTAATTTTATTAAGCTGACGATCACTTTTTTGTTGAAATCATTAACAAATAAGCGGTTCTGTATACATATTCAAGCATATTGCGTGAGCCGATCTCTGTCTCTTATGCATGAATTATAAGCCAAATATGGGTGAATCACGGCTAACCAATCACCGCTCGCAAATCGCACCATCGCATCACCTCAGAGACTGGACTCGGAATTGGAATCGGAATGGGAATGGGACTCGGAATTGAACCTCCGAGTGCAGGTCGCATTCGGGCTAAATGGCGGCGCTATTGAAGCTGTCTCTCTGCTCAAAACAATGTGTTAAAAGTGTTAAGAGCGAAATGATGTTAGCAGATTAACAGCATTCCGAAAACCCGATGGCCACTGGCCTTTGGCCATTCACGATTCGCGCTCGGACATCGATCGATCGATGCTCGTCGTCTTCAGGCCAGAAGCGACGGGAACGCAGCTCCGACCCGACCATACACATGCTCAACGACGGCTCAATTCGACCAGACTTTCTGGTCTAAATTAGACTGCGCGTTGGCGGTATAAAAGCTAGCTAATGAAGATACATCCCGCATTATATTAGAACAGTTCGGCAGCGATAGGACAACGACAACATCAGAATGCGTGCATTTATCATCTTATGCTTTGTGGCGGCTGCCAGTGCTGGACGCTTGTCCGGCTACAACTACGGACAGGGCACAACTGATGGCAACATTGGCGCCCTTGGAGGTATTGGAGGCATTGGAGGCATTGGCGGCGGTAACATTGTCGGCGTCAGCAAGGGACTAGGTGGTCCAGTCAGCTATAATGCTGCTCCCCAGGCCGGAGTTACCAAAGAGTTCTACAGCTTCTACGCGAACGAGGCTGACTTTGAGGATCCAGATGCACAGAGGAAGATCGCCGCCTCCCTAAAGAAGAGTGTGCGTGTCATCTTCATCAAGGGACCCGAGAACCGCGGCTACGAGAACGCTGTCCTTGCCCTGGCCAAGCAGGCCGCCGAGCAGAAGACCGCCATTTACGTGCTGCACAAGCAGACGGACATCAACGAGTTGGCCAACAAGTTCAATGCCGTTCGCCAGAACGCCAACCAGAAGCCCGAGGTGCACTTTGTCAAGTACCGCACACCCGAGGACGCTGCCAACGCTCAGCGCGCCATCCAGTCGCAGTACGACAACCTCGGTGGATCCTCCCAATCCATCAACGGAGGAGTGGCCAAGGCCCTGAACTTTGCCTCCCGATCTCCTGCTCCAGTCCGTGCCGGTCGGGTGCAGGCACCCAACAGCGACTACCTTCCCGCCTCGATCATCAATCGCCTGCGCCACTGAAAAGCTTTCCACGAGTAGGATCCATTTGTTATTATAGGTTGTTTTCGAATAAAAATTGATAGAGTTTTGTTTTTAGTTTAAATTATATTGAGTTTATTTTAGTAATTAATTATAATATTTGAGAGATTTGCAGTGTACAATTTATACGGCAGATCAGCGTTCGGCACGTCACATGTTTTCGTGCTTTTGTTTGCACAGACAACAGAGCCGAAGTCAAAAACGTTTCTTGCTTCTCTGCCGCTGCGGCAGCCGAAGCAACTGTGCATAAGCCATCCACGAAGTTCTTGTTGTTGTTTCTCTGCCGCTGCGGCGGTTCTCTGCACATAGGCCGAAGCCACACGAACTTTTTACGCTGTGCGTGCACCGACTGCGCTGCCCGAGATGTTTTCTTATGCATAGCATAAACATGGCATACGACGCTACCGGCCTCTTATCTAGATTATCTCTTACTTACATAATGTAAAGACAAGGCGGTTCGCAGGCATCTACACCAGGTAGAAACTTTGGTTCTTCTTAGATTCTTGATTTAGAGGCTGCTCTGAAGGTTTCCCCTGAGTCCACTTTTCATCGTTTGTAAAAATTATTGCCCAAAGTCCGCAAACCTTCTAGGGTGTTTAAATAAACATTGCTTTTAAATGGTAAAAATTGAAATTTATTTATGCATTAGTCAACAATAACTAGGATTTAAAATCAGTCAAAGATCGCTGGAGTTTTCGATTCAGAATTACAGAATCAAACGAGCAACTTAGACGCGACGGAACACCGAAGACGGCAGGTAGGAGTTGTCGGGGTTCTGGGCAGTAGCCTGACGCACTGGACCAGCGGAGGCGAAGTTCAGAACGGGGGCAACACCACCATCGGTGGCCTGGGAAGATCCACCCAACTGATCGTACTGACCCTGGATGGCGCGCTGTGCGTTGGCAGCATCCTCGGGGGTGCGGTACTTGACGAAGTGCACCTCGGGCTTGTTGTTGGTGTTGCTGCGGATGGAGTTCAGCTTGTTGGCCAGATCTCCGATGTCAGCCTGCTTGTTCAGCACATAGATGGCAGTCTCCTGCTGGGCAGCCTGCTTGGCCAGAGCCAGAGCAGCGTTCTCGAGGCCACGGTTCTCGGGTCCCTTGATGAAGACGACGCGGAGGGCCTTGTTCAGAGAGCTCGAGACGCGTTCCACAGCCTGAGGCTCATCGAAGTCCTGTTCGTTGGCTGTGAAGGTGAAGAATTCCTTCTCGAGCTCAGCAGCTGGGGCAGGGGCGTTGTAGGAGACGGGAGCGCTGATACCATCGTTGGACTGGCCACCGAGACCGCCCAGACCGCCAAGGCCGCTCAGACCTCCGAGAGATCCACCGCCAATGCTGCCACCGCCAAGGGATCCACCGCCCAAAGATCCACCGCCCAGGGATCCACCGCCCAGGGATCCGCCTCCAATGCCGCCACCACCTAGACCACCTCCCAGTCCTTGGAGTCCTCCAATGCTGCCACCGCCAATGCTGCCACCGCCGAGGCTGCCACCACCGATGCTTCCACCGCCGATGCTGCCACCGCCGATGCTGCCGCTGCCAGGAGCAAAGGACAGTCCGGAGTTGGAGTGTCCCACGGGCTGGTAGTTGTAGCCGAGCTTATCGGCGCAGGCGACTGCCACCAAGCACATAACCTAGAGAGGAGGAGAATCGTCAGTTTAATCCTTGGATATCCTGCAATCTGGGGCAGTCCTGGATACTTACAATGAATGCACGCATTTTGAATTTAGTTCTTTGACTTCGACCACTGAGTTGTGTCTGACGTTTGCATCACCGAAAGGTCCAGTATTTATACGAAAACCACCGATCGGTGTCACTAGACTGCGCTCAAGCTCAAGTTCATGCAGACATTTGCCGTAGCCGGAGCAGCCTCCGTGGCTGGCCGTGTGTGTGGTTGTTTCTGCCTTTTCCTCAGCCGCTGCCGAACGGCTCAGCCCGGTTCGGTCTTGGGCTTGGGCTTGGGCTTGTAGCATTTTGCAGCGACTTCTTCTGCTGCCTTTGTCTCTCAAATGACTGGCTATCCACCAGAGTGATAAAACAATGGCGCCATCGATGCGGACAAAGCGCATTGCCATCTTGCCGCCCTATTCTTGCAAATGTTGCTGCCATCGTTATGGTAATTTTCCAGTCTCACAGACAGATACAGAGCCAGAGCCAGTACCAACTACAAGCCCTAGCTGGAGCCCAAGAGCGAGTCGCATTAATGCGACAACCTTTGGCGGTCGCTCAGATTGTAAATCGATGGGCAGGTAGGCTCGGGTCGTCATTAGAGCAGCGCAGATCAAAACTTGTTCAGCAAATGCCACTATAAATGGTCATGCTTTCAATAAAAGAAATGTTTTTCTTCATATTTTATATGCTAAAACATTTGGCGGAGCATCAAAACGAGTTCGAGTTGTCCGAGACGAAACTAGACGAGAGACCTGCTCGGTTTTTCTACACTTTTTAGTTTGTATTCAGCCGCATATTTCTAGCTGGGAATTCCCAAACGATTATTGCGTCCGCTGTCCACTTTTTGTGGTATTCGATGTTCGATATTTGGAACCGGCTGGCTGCTCTCTCGCTGGTCTTTCCGACTTATCAAGTTACATTGAACGGAATGCTGACTGGGTGGCTGTGTGGCTGTGTGGCTGCTGGCTGCTGGCTGGGGAAACAATGGATGAAATCAATTTTCGCCAGCCTTTTTTGCCCATCCATTCATTCATCCATCCATCCATCTCTCTGCCCATCTACCTGTCCGTCATCTCATCCATTTAACCTGTAGCAAAAAACACACGGAGGTGGCTCTGTTCGGACAAATAGAAGCCATAAAGTTAACAACCGTTGCGACCTTGAGCATTTTTTACTGTTGACCAGAAATAGCCTGGAGCCAAGCGACGCGGCGGTAATCAGCTGGCGCCAGGTGACCAATTCATCTGATCAGCGATTATCACGTTTTTCATCATGGTTTATTGAT